GCCTCCAGAAGTTGTGAATTTCCCAACACTGGAAGTCTTTAAGAAGATGTTGGAAAGCCATTTGCTTGAAATGGTATAGGGTTTCCTGCCTAGGCAGGGGGTTGGACTAGAAGACCTCCAAGGTCCCTTCCAACTCTGCTATTGTATTGTATTGTATTGTATCATGGGGATACTGCAAAGATTGTAAGTGTGAAAATGGTCATAAATCACATTTTTCAGTGCCATTGTAACTTTAAATATTCACTAAAGAAGCTGTTGGAAGTCAAGGACTACCTGTAGAACATTGTTCAAAATTTTCCTGAGATAAAACTAGTAGCACTTATGTGAAAGAGGCTCTTGAGCCTTCTTCCCGCATGACTGACCTTATTAGAAAATGAATAGTAGCACAGCTCATTCTCAGAGCAGCTAATATATGGAGAACACCAGGTTGGAGAAAGTTGATTATCCCCTGGGAAACTAAGGTTGAGAGACACTTGCAATGTATGTCTATTTAAAACACGATTTCTTGGCTGGATTCATATATTATACATGATAGACTGCTGGTCTTTTATAAAGGCTTTATAAAGGCTTAAAAACTCAAAGGCCTCCCCTGGCATTTGGCCAGGATGTTGGACAAGATTGGTTTGATAATGGTTGTTTTTCATTGAATATATTTTTTTCTCTTTTATCTCCAGAGTGACAATTAGTGAGTTAGATGGCAATTAGTGAATTTGTATAAATTGAATAAATAAATAAGCCAAGGTGTGTTATGGCTTAACATGATATGTAAATCCTGCAGGTGACTTTGCCATAATTAGCTCATGAGAGTGGGATCAAAGATTCAGGCAGTTCTTTAAAATTAGTGTATTGGTGAGTTTCTTTGAATTAGTTAATGAATTTTCTCTTGCCAAGTCACATGGACTGATGCCTCTCTTATCTCATTAAATTCTCAGGCGCAAAAACTGAGCAAATGGTGTTTACAAATGGGATATTTTGAATATGTTCCAATTCACTTCTGGGAGGCTTATGGACAAAACTGGAAGCATCATTTCAATAACAAAGATATTTGAAAAACAACGTTAATTTATGAGTTTAATTTTGGGGTGGAACAAACGTATCGATAAAAATAAATAAAAAGCCATTGTTGATGTAAAGTAGGATAAGATATATTTTTCTGTTCTGAATTCAGCTCTAGCCAAGAAGCTTCAGTTTCAATTTGTTAAAAGTTATAAGATTTAGGGTTTTTGTTATCAGTCTTCACTAAAATTTGGAAGATTTCTGTTTTAATACGTAAGGCTTCGATTTTTTTTTTAGGTATTTCTTCACTTATCTCTTACCTTATACTGCACCCATTGCTTTGCAACCAATTTTGAAGGACATCTTGAATGCCACCGGTACGTGCTAGTTCAAAATATTAAAGATACATTTAAAATGTTTATATGAAGAAGAACTGCTTTATAGTATTTTTCGCCTTAAAACATTTATCTCCCCTCTGCATGTAGGTGATTTACGATATGGAGTGAATGAAACTTTACGAGCTTTCCAAAAAGTTTTGCATTTGTACAAGTCAGGACTTTATCTGCAGAAGAAGCCTTCTCACTTAAAAGGTATGGATCTCATAACTAGCGAGTAAGTTCAGACTAAATGCCCAAGGACCTGACTCAGTTAAAATGTGCTTAATTTAAAACCCATTGTAATCAATGGAAGATGTAGCTGGGTCAATCTAAATCCCTTTGAGACTTGAGCCATTGAGATTTTGATAAAATTAGCTTTCCCAACAAAGGGACCGCTGACTGCATTGAGTAGAATTTACTTCATTTTGGGTGCTTTTCTTTTGAACAACTCTCATGCATTAATACACCTATAATGGGTAGTGAGGGCATGCCTGTGCTGACACTAATGAGTCTATCAGCCATATTCCTCTATTATTATTTATACAATATACATCTGAAAAGTCAATCAACTTCAGAGCAGCCAAGCCTACATGCTTGATTCCCTTTTAAGATAATATTGTGCATATAACTATAACTATAACTATAACTATAACTATAGTTGAGATTGGCAATCTGGTTGGCATGAACACCTAGGTTCCTCACTTAATGCTCACTGAGCTCCTGCCCCAGCTGATATTTTAAATTTTTTAAATAAAACCAATATATAAGGAAATGACATTTTATAAAAAAAAACTTTGACTATTCGTGACAATGCTTTTAGGCTTCGGTGTTTTCCTGGGATATTAGAGAGCTTTGGGAGAGCGGAAGCTAATTCACTTGTGGTAAAGATTTTCCTGACCATGGTGGATATTTTATGAATAGGCAGATTTCCCATCGCAGCCATTTTTATAAGTACACCCATTATAATCTTCAACTTTCCAAATGCATCTTAGACTCCAAAGATGGTCTATTGCAACATTAGAGTATGGAGTTTGTGGTCATAGCCCCATTTCTATTTCATATATCCATGGATTGAGTAATGGCTTATATTCTGAACGTTCTAGTATTTAGGTGGTATGCTTATGTCAGTTTCATTATTTCATTATTGATTTCTTTTGAAATGCTTTTAAAATGGGGGAGATATTGATAGAGATTGAAAATTCTGGCAGGACTGCTTGAGGAATGGAACTCCTGCTTTTTCGTCTAATAAATTCTATACGCTTCTAAATGAAAAAAATAGAGTCAAGGATGGCATGAAGGCTATCCAAAGAGATAAGAGTTAAATGTTATGGATTTACACACTGCTAATAAAGAGTACTTCTGGTATGTGTAAGAGAGACAAGATTTATGATTGTTTTGCTAGACATGCCTGGGAAGATAAATTTTGGTTGGGAGTAAAAAATTTAAAACATCCTTTACATTTTTCTCATTTCTTAAATACTTCTGAGTTTCCAACAGGTACATAGTAGTAATCCTTTATCTTTTTTCCCCTCCCCCCAGAATATTTTGTTGCAAAGGGATTCCACAGTATGGATACAGAGGACTATAAATGTTGGCCTTCGTATAGCCCTTTGAGATGCATGTTGTCTGTTCATAACGTAGAGGAAGCTGCCTCCATTTGCAGTTACCATCCACAGTGCCAACATTTTATCATCACTTCACAGAGAACATGGACAGGTGAGAATAGATAGCATTATGAACATCACCTAGGCCTTTTCCTCAAAAATCCATAGAAGATTCACAGAAGATCTAGGCATGCTTTTACTTGGATTCGAGTAAGTTTAAACTCTGGAGGAAAGAGATGTTCATGTCAGTGTAACACTACCAGCTGCTTCCAAAGATCTTCACATATTTTCTGCAATGTTTGAAAGGGCATTCGTATGCATACAGCTCTGACCATAATCAGGAATTCTAACAAGGCAGATTTTCTGATTCAAAATAGGTTACCAGCATTTTTAAATAAAAGCAATTACAAAAATCTTTGCAGAACCATGAACAGCTTTATAAATACCAAACATAAAAATGTGCAAGGGATATTTCCACATCCTTTTATTTTAGTTCTACTTTGGGGCAAGTGACCATTCACAACATTCAAGGTAAGTAGCTTTTTAATGAGTTGGCTTCATCTGTTTTATCAGCTTCACAGATTTTGCTCTTGCTTAAGCCGAAGTTTGTTAGCTTTTGAAGAATACATTTTTAATTATTTTTTTCCTCTACCATCAGGCACAGATTTGAGATATGCTATACTGAGATGCATATTTTGAATCATGAAGCTACATCAAATCCCCTCCCTCCCTCCCTTCCCAATTGAAACTGGTTTACTCTCTGATTAAATTATTTTGTAACTACCAAAGGCAGAATAAGTGATTCATGTTGTATACAAACTTTACAATACAATAGCAGAGTTGGAAGGGATCTTGGAGGTCTTCTAGTCCAACCCCCTGCC